AGCTCACATGCTGGCTGTGGTAGCTGCTGATCTTGTTCGTACATTGTTTGGTATACAGGCAGTTCTCAATCTACACTGCGGATCTGTTCCTGAGTAAAAAGAAGGAATTAAGAACTAATCTCCCTTATAAATGCATAAAAATGGGGGGAGGAAGCGTTCTGAGTCCACTCCCAACCAGAGGGCTAAACTCCCGAATAGTTACAAACATTTATACCCGTAAAACATCTATGCAGATGTATTAGAAGTCATTTTTATACCAAATGGTTGTTTGTGTTGGTCCATTTCATGTAAAAAGTGAAGGCAAGGCTGTCATTACGGGTTGGTGATGAACAGTGAGAAAAACAGCAGCACTGTGCCTGTAGGTGCATGTGCACTGCATAGCTATCTTCATCTCTAAGTCACATTACCAATCAGGTTTTCCTTAGGTTTCGCCAATAATTCTATACACTTTTATTTATAGGCTTTTTAGGTTGAAAAGGTAGTTCTTCTTTGTGAAGAGATGAGTTCCCTTAAACTAACAATATTTACAAATTCTTTGCTTTTAAGTCCTTTTTTTTCTGTATAGCAGCTTGGCGTTTTGCTCCCTTCCCCCTGGGGCAGCTGGGTATGTGCAGTATATATATACAGCTGCCTGTCGCCCAGGCCTGTTCAAGTGAGACCTCAAGGCATCCTAAATTAAGAAAGAGAACATGTTTTGGGGGCAATTCAAAACAAAACAGGACAAATCGAAACTGTGTAAATTGAGAACTGACCATATATTGTACATCTTAATGTCAGACTGTGATTCTGCTGTGTTTAGCACACGTCTAATGAAAATGCTGCACTCCATCCAAAGTACACTCCATCCAAACTTAAAAGCTACATGAAATAAATCCCCAACCAATACCAGATATATGGCCGTAATATGAAAATGGAATGAAACTCTGTTTTTAAGCCAGATTTGACACATACAGCAAGGACTAAAAGAAATTGTGATTTTTTTCCTTGTAAATGGTGCTGTCTCTTCAGTAATGTCCTGAGTGCCCATGAGGGTCTGTGGCACTGTCAGTCCTCTCTGCAGGGTAGTGAGGGGTCAGGCATAGAGATGGGCAGGATCTAGTCATTGCTGCCGCGTGTTCAGTAGTGTTGCTGCGGAAATGGCCCACCGACACTGTTCATTTCGACACCTGCCCCTGCTACTCTTCAGATGCAGCACACTTCAAGCACAGCCTCTCGAACAGCAGCACACGCACACGCCCAGGCACAGGCACAGCCACACGCGCACTAACGCACACACACACAAAGGCACACAGTGGCTTTGCATCTGCAGCTGGACCGCAGTCTTTGAGATAAAACAAATTAAACGGAATTATTGATGACCTGCACAGCGTTTGATGGCTAATGACAAAACTGCACTTCCCTCTGTAGTCCAAGTCCGCTTAAAGACTCCCAGCAGGGAGGCATGGGGGAGCTGCTCCCACTCCTGCTGAGAGAAGTAAAGAGGAGACTTTGGAGAATTTTTCACCCTCTTCTGGGCACTGCCTTTCATCTCGGAGATGACTGAGCTCACCGGTGTCTTTCATTGCGGTCTCCGTACAGGCTTGATTCTCTCTCCCTACCTTACACAGTCCTGTCTCTACTGGTCCTGCACCGATCCTGTCTCTTAGTCTTGTTTTTGCTCGACCAGTGGCCCTCTCTTCCTAAGCCCGTCTTGTTTCTAGTGGTCTGACCCCTTCCTCCATCTGTCCTGGGCCAGTCTCCTGTAAGATCTCTCTGGATCAATCCCCACCCTTCTCGTTCTCTGTCTTTTTTTTTTCTGGTCCAGTTTCGTAAGCCCATAAGAAAGTCCAGGATGAGGAAAGGCGGTTGGGCGGACCTGTACTCGATCAATAAGCTGCTTCTGCTTGATTGTTTGTCGTGTGCTAACATTTGTGTACTGCTGATCCTCGCGGTGTTTGGGTACGCTTATTTATTTAATATTTATTTATTGAAATCATTATCGGTAAAGCGCATCAAGCAGTTAAAAACGGGTTGTCGCAATATCTTGGAATTACATTTCTGGTATGTGGCAGCCCCTGCCGTTACCCTGTTCCACACCTTGCCTGTACTTCCTAGAACCTCATTCTACTGCCTGAGCCGGGAGCAGCCTGCGTCTGTTGGCCCCATTGAAAGACAAAAAGTGGATAACTTTCGAACTGCAATTAAAGACCAAAATCACAATTAGAATCTCTGTCGGCACCCAAAGGTCACTGTGATCAATTCGTCAAGTCGTCTTATCTGAATGCGCTCCTTGTGATGACACACAGACAGCTGGAGCAGCCCCGCTTTGTATGAATCAGTGTCTGTGCTGAAGCTGACATTCCATAGCCGCAAATCAATCGCACAGACATTTCAAACTCCGTTAAAAAATAAGCCTGTCCGCAACTATCGAGTTGGCACCGGAGCTCTCGTGCCTAAGACCGTCTACTTACTGTCTGTGCTGGTTCTGGGTGACGACCTGCCAGGACGTCTGTTTCCTCCGCGCCTGCTCGGCCCGTGTGTTCACTTCCTGCCGTTTGCCCTGGCGGCGGCTCTGGCTTCCACCCGGTCGAGCTGTTGGCAGTCGTGGGGTTGAGGGAGGAGCAGCGAGGGTGGCCTGTTTAATCGCGAGCAGGACCAGGCTGACTGTGGAAGATGGTCACTGCAGTGTCTGTGCCCTGCTGCTCTTCATAGCCTAATGGGCCTCATTAATAAGACATGAATTGGGAATTACAAGCTGAGCAGCACATTGTACTAATGATCTAATGGCCAGCCACTTCTGGTGTGATTTGCATAATGAAACACTGAATTGCTGACCTTTAAGCTCTTTATTGTAAAGCCGCAATTAAAAAGGGAGCAGTGCCCGTTTCAAAATGCAGCGCCGATATGACTGGAGCTGTAATTTATGCCCGCTTGAAAGTTGGGCTGATTGCACTCGAAGAGAGAGTTGAAAATGAGAGGAGCGGCACGGACGCCGAGCTGCAGAGGTGGTCGGAGCCGCGAGGGGGCTCGTCGTCTGCAGGTCCGGCAGTGACAGCTGACTGGGGGGCGTTGAGGGTTTGGGGGGGCTCAGAGTCTGGCAGAAACTCTCCCCGCTGCGTGACCATTCAGTTCACTCCTGCGCCTGTCTTTTAGTACAACAAAGACTGAAGTGCATCTAAAGTACTTGATAATTCATCAAGCAGCTGAAGCGCTGACCTGGTCCAAAATCCTGCAGTGAAGTGGATTGGAAGCAAGTTTAGGAATCCTGTGTGGAGAGGGCTGTATCCACTATTTTGACGGGTATTGCACAGACCATAGCCTAGGTGAAAGGCGCTGTATAGCTTCGTCAGGGTGTATTTTTTCCCTACCCCACTTTATTGCTCCCGGCTTATTGCGTTTTGCCTCTTTCTCTCCCCGTCAGCCGACATCGCTCAGCGTTACAGGATCAGCAAGTACCCCACGCTGAAGCTCTTCCGGAACGGCATGATGATGAAGAGGGAGTACCGAGGTCAGAGGTCGGTGTCGGCCATTGCGGACTTCATCCGGCAGCAGAAGGTGGACCCCGTGAGGGAGCTGCAGAGCCTGGAGGAGATCAAGGCCGTTGATGTGAGGAAGCCCAGCTTGCCCCGGGTGCCCAAAGACACACCTCACACACCTCACACACCTCACACACCTCACACACCTCACACACCTCACACACCTCACACACCTCACACACCTCACACAC